TCACGGAAGAAAGAGGAGGCCAGGACGGAGCAGGACCCCCAGGGTCTATGCCCAACAAGCCCACTCTTCTGTGTCTCAGTTTCTTTCTGCTACCCCTCTCCTGACTGACCAATGCCCACCCCACCAGGGCAGGGGATCTGGCATCTGTCACCCCAGGCTGCGTCCCAGGTGAGAGCTGGAGGTAGGCTAAGATGCTAAGCCTGGCTCCTCCCTCACCCCCCCCCCTTCTTACAAGAAGAAACAGGCCTTGGGGAAAGGGCTGCTTTCTGATGTTGTTGTCCCACCCCAGCCACACACTTGTCCCCAGACAGATTTGGTGCTGCCCTTTGCTGGGGAGGTGTGGCCCTGGCTGAGATGCCTAGAGCTCCTTCTAAGCAGAAGGTAAGAATCCTAGGCCGGGGAGATGGCTCAGCGGAATAAACGCCTCCTTGGCAAGCACAAGGGTCTGAGTTCAATCCCCAGTTCTACCAAAAAAAAAAAAAAAAAAGGAGGGTAAGGGTCCAGGCTGGTGGGCAGAGGGCATGCTGGGCTCTTCTGACAGGAGGGTTCAGGGGGCTGGGCCTCACTATGCCCTGCCCAGTTCTTATTCCCCCATGATGTTCAGCAAAGCCTACGGTACTAATCTTCTCCAAGGAATCCAGTAGAAGCCAGGTTTGGAGGCACATGCCTATAATCCCATCACCTTGGGAGGCAGAGGCAGGATCCAAAATCTGAGTTCAGTCTGAACAGCTCAGTAATTTAATGAGACCCAGTTTCAAAATCCCCAGGTAGTGGGGATGTACCTCAGTGCAAAGATCTAGAGATCAATCTCCAGTACTACAAAAAAAAAAAAAAAAAGCCAGGCATGGTAGTGTGTGCCTATAATCCCAGTACTCAGGAGGCTGAGGCAGGAGGGTACAGGAGAGTTTGAGGCAGCCTCCACTACATAATGAGTTCAAAGCCAGCCTGGACTACATAGCAAGACTCTATCTCAACAAAACAAAGGAGCTTTGCCAGATAGCTCAGTTGTTTAAAGTGTCACTTTGGTAAAGGCAGGCAGGCTCATAGGACCACAGTTCGATTCCCAGCCCCAGCAGCTGTACAAGACCTGCCTTTAAGGCAGGATGAAATAGCAAAAAAAAAAAAAAAAAAAAAAAAAAAGCACCTCCTCAACAAAGCAAAAAAAAATCAGGAGGAGGACCTCAAGCCCGTTTGATATGGAGGTCCTAACAGCCAACATATACAACTCCATACAAATTTAGGCATTTTTAAAGCATCTTATACACTTTATCTCCTCGAAAGATTAAAAAAAAAATCCACTAAATAGGCTAGACATTATGACCCCCAAGATAAGGCAGGAGGGAAGAAGTGGATTCCTACGATAAGGTCATATTCCCAGCAGGATGAAGGGCTGGGATTCAAACCTAGGTGTCACCCTCCAGCCAAAGCTGGGGTTCCCATGGGACCTCTCTGCTATTTGTAACCATGATAACAGCTGAGCTGCTGGGTGACCAGAGACTATGTTTTTTCATCCAGCTGTGTGTCCCCGGGGCCAAGCCTCATTTTCCCCTTCTGTAGCAGCCCATGGATTCTCCACAGTGGCCCCATTACCAGGGCCTCCTGATCAAATGGGTAGAAGGGGGCACTGGCCAGAGATATTTCGTGCCCCTTGGGCTCTGGGTCTCCTGCCCCATCCTGCCTTCTCTGGGCTGCAGCTGGCACTTGTGGGTGCCCCACACAGATGAGCAGCTGTACCCGCAGAACCTGGCCAGGCTGGGCAAGATGGGTACAGCTGTCGGGTAGCTCTGAGGTGGGTCTCAGCTGCCAGGGTGTGAAAAAAGGGCACTGTGGGTCCCGCCAACTCCCGCCACTGCCCATGAGGACTGCTCTTTCCCATGCTTGGGTCAGTGTTGGGGGGGACGTGTACACCAAGGGCTTCCCCAGAACTGCTGCCAGCCAGTCTAGGGGGTTCCACAGGGACAGGAGCAGACCCCCTTGTCTTCCCCATTCCCAGCCCCCAAAACCTGCCGGGCAGCCGCAGCTGCAGCCTAAGGAAGTGCAGGATGTCCTGCAGCCAGCTGAGCCCCCCGCCCCTCCCAGCCCAACCTCCAGCTGACCCCAGAGGCGGCGGGCGGGCGGGCGGGGCAGAGGGCCGAGGCTTGAGTATTAACAACTGGAAAAGTATGAAGGACGTCGCTGCCAGTTCCCAGCTCCGAGAAAAGAGGCTGCAGCAGAAACAGACAAGGGCAGGGTGAGAAGGAGTCACAGGCTGGCAGAGAAACAGAGGAAGAGCAGAAGCAGACACCCCAAGAGAGGAGGAACAGTAGAGAGATTCCAAGTCAAAAATACACAGCACTCACGCAGACACTCACGGGCTCTAAGGAAGGTGGCCAAGTTTGGACAGGAGGGCCCAGGTGGGAGAAAGGGCAGGCTCATTCAGGGGGGCAGAGGCTTCCAAGGGGGGCGTCTGAGGGTCCCCAGGAGGAAGAGGCCCAGGTACATGAAGCCCGCCAGGGGCAGCTAGGTCCCTGTTGCCTTTTAGGGTAGGAACAAGAGACGCCCGGCTTGCTAGGAGCTAGCAAGACACCCCCTCCCCCAGCAACGAGGACAAGCCCAGCTGCTAGACGCCACTGGACACTGCTTCAGGCCCATGGCTCGGCCCTCTGGAACCCCCCTGCACCCGCTTTGCTCTTATGTCTCCGTCCCTTCAAAAGGAAAAAAAAGCCCACTGCCACACAGTGGCTGAGCCAGAGGAAAGGACGCTGAGGGAAAAGTCTGCGTGCATCTTGCTGCGTGCCTCACTGCCTGCAGCCTGTGCTCTGGGCTGGAGGGACACTCCCGGCCACTGTGCCCCCTGCCTCGAGCATGTGTCCTGCACCTGAGTCTGTGGGACTGGGCAGGACCGAGTGCACCTGTGTCTGCAGTTCCCACAGCCAATCAATTAATGAGTGTTTACAGAGCACACCCTGTGCTAGGCTCTGGGTGGGATCCAGACCTCGTGGAAGGCTTCTCCCAGGGCGCAGGAGCTGACCAGCTAGAAGGTGGGAGGCAGGAAAAGGGCCAGTGAGGGAGACCATGTTCTGGAGAATGCGTGTCTTGCACCAGGATGCAGGAAAGTATTATCAGACAGAGGAGGACTCTGATTTCCTCCTGGGGCAGGGGTTTTGCTGTGTGCAGAGCCCCAGCATTCCATAGTAGGAGTCCAAGAAAATACTTGTTGCTCAGTTGTGCATACACAGGTTGATGTGCAGCTGCATTTGTGTTCCAATGAGTGACAGAAACTGTCACGGCGGGGGAGGATGGCTGTATGATGGGGCACATGTGAGCACGTGTGTGCCTGTGGGTGACAGGGTCTTTTGTAATGGTGGGGCTGTGTGCACGCATGCATTTGATAGTGACTCTCTCTGTGTGGGTGACAGCGATTCCTCTTTGCCTCTGCATGTGACAGCATCTCCGGGTGACCCCGAGCATGGATATGTGCACAGATTGGGCTCCCGCCTGCTGTCTCCGTGGGTGTGTCCTGCCTCTGCCTCTCTGAGCTCCATGGTGCAGCGCAGCCCGCCTCTTCCCTTGTCCCTATGTGGGTGTGTCCAGCAGCTCCTGTCCTTGAGTCCGCCTTGCCGTCTGTCCCCCTCATCCTGGACAAGGACTCCCTTCATCCCTCCCCCCTCCTGGGGCCTCTGCCAGCACTGAGGGGCAGGCTCCCCCCCCCCTTAGCTTCCCCTCTGGGCGCCTTCCCCCAGTGGGGGGCTCTCTCCATCGGCTGTCACCATCCAGGCCTCCTTTTCACACTGGACAAGGAGGGTCCTAGACAGAAGGGCACAGACGCGCTGCAAGGGGGGGGGCACACACAACACAGGTCCATTTCTTCCTCCCTTCCCCATTCACGCCAGTCAGCAACTCTGCTGATCATCTTGAGCCCATGGAGCACCCCCACACACACGCACACGCACACGCGCGCACACGCACTCCCCACCCCACCAGCCGCGTTTTTGCAATTAAGAGTGTTGCAACCAGACAGCCATGCTCCACTGGGGAGGGGAGGGGGCTTCCCCTCCCCCGGCCAAGCAGCCCCCCACGTCCCCCTCCTCGCCCCCGCGGCGCTAGGCAGCCTAGCAAAGGCCACTCGGGCCGGCGGTGGGGTGGGGGCTGGGGGGGCAGGCCTCCGGCGCACCGTAAACAAACCGCGGCGGCGGCGGGCGGGGGAGCTCCGGCCCGCGAATGCGCAGCAGCCCGGCGGGACAGAGGCCGCGCCGGCCTCGG